GTACAGTGGGGGAAATATTTATTTGATCCCCTGCTGATTTTGTAAGTTTGCCCACTTACAAATGAATGAAGGGTCTGTAATTTTTATGGTAGGTTTATTTTAACGTATAGAGACAGAATACCAACCGAAAAATCCAGAAAAAACACATTATATAAAGGTTAGAAATTGATTTGCATTTCAGTGAGTGAAATGAGTATTTTTTTTGTTTAGTATAAAAGTTTATTATATTTACTGAAATACTTTTATAGAATTTAATCATGTTTTGAATTAGCTTAAATGTCTATAATTTTAGTATTCAGTATTTTCTGTGATACTTATTAGTTTTAAATATATTCACATGTATTTCAAGTTTAAGTACTAAACATATTTTATATAATTTTCATTTACGTTTAAGTCGCTTTTTCATCTAGTATTTATATTCTTTCAGATTTTTCAATTAATGAAAATTTTCAGTTTTAGTTTAAAATAATTTGATCTTTTTGTCATTTTTATTGTTTTTAAAAAATATATATTTCTATTTAGCTTAATTTATAAAATTTATTTCAAATACTAAAACGACTAAAACTGTTTTATTTTAGTTAGCTGCCAAAGCCACATTTCTATTTTTTGTGTTTACATTGAAGTTTTTTCGTCTAATGTTTAGAATATTGCAGCTTTTTTAATTAATGAAAATATTTTAGTTTTAAGTTATTTGATCTTGATCTCTCTTATTTTGGTCATTTTTTTATAATTCTGTTTAGATTTCTATTTATAAAAATTATTTATTTCAACTAAAACGACTAAAACTGTTTTATTGTAGTTAGTTGCCAAAGCAGCATTTCTAATTTTCTTTTAAATTTAAGTCATTTTCCATCTAATGTTTATATTTTTCAGCTTTTTCAATTAATTAAAATTTTCAATTTTAGTTTTAAGTTTCAGTAATTTCTATTTAGCTTCAATTCATATTTATTTAAAGTTTAAGTACTAAATTATAACTATTTTATAAAGTATTTCTATTCCATTTTTTTCTATTTCTATTATAAAGTATTCCAAAGCAGCATTTCTAATTTTCATTTACGTTTAAGTTGGTTTTTCATCTAATATTTATATCTTTCAGCTTTATTTCAAATAGCGAAAAATGATTTCACAAAATTTAAACATTAAAAAAATTTTAAAAAGCAGACAGGACCTCAATAAAGTCGTTTACATGTAAAATGTAAACCATGACAGCCATATAGAAGATAACGCAGCAATGATCTCAATCAATAGAAGCTGATCGTGCCAGAACAGGTAAGGCTTGTCAACAGCGCTCAGGCCCTCGTTGAAAATCGTTAGCATGTGAACCCATTTGCCGTGGGGTCCCTTCACTCCGGCTGCGTGTCGCACGATTACGAGGCAGGACAGGAGAGGCCGGGTTAATGAAGTGCGCTCCAATCAATCAGGAAAGATAAAAAACATAACGAGCGGTTGGATTGGAGAGGCTGGAAGTGCTAGAGGCACTCGCCCGCAGCATTCGCACAGACGAGACTTGGGCATGTTTCTCATTTCTATGTAAATTGAGGGGCTGGAAGAGCAAACCTCGCTCTCCTGGATGTGTTCATGCAACTTAAAACCATTCAGAGGAAAACGATGAATCATTGTTTATGGACGCTGCTATTAGGGCTGAGCATTTATGCCGCAGGTTGATGTATTAGCACGACCATAAGTGGGCAGGTCTGGGACAAAGAAACATAGAATATTGCAGAAATAGAGACCGCCAGTGTTATTTTAGTATTATTGTTTTTATTAACATTAGTAAAAAAAAAAATTCTGTTTTAATTTAAATTTTAGTTAAAGTTTTTAAGTCATTTCCTTGTGTTTTTATACATTTTTTAAATATTTTATAAAAAAAATTATTTGTATAGTTTTTTTATTTTATTTTATTTTTTTATTTAGTTGTTTTAGTACATAAAATTAAACAAAATGAAAAACATCTTGACAACTAGCTATAATGATAGTTTAATTTAACATTTTTAAAGTAATTCAACTTGTGAACAATTTTTTTTTTGTTTGTTTTAACTATAATAACCCTGCCGTCAAAGGGAGGAAGCCGCATTAATGTTTATTTATTTATTTATGTTTTTTTTATATCTCAGAACTTATTTTATTAGATTTCATTAGATTTGCTTCACGTCTATCAAGATCCAAATAAAAGGAGAAAATAATCAAATGAGATAAAGCACCTTTCATTTGTAAGGCATTTTATTTTATGGACTATGCAAAATAGATTGCATGATTTATTTATGTGTTTTGTTACCTTTATATACTGTTTTGGACATAACCTCCACTCTCAGCGGATGACGGGTCTGGCATGGACACTGAAGATGAGCTGAACAGGTCAGACATTTATTGCTTTCTAAATACGTCGTCATTACATGTTGATCGACATTCTCATAAGGCTGGTAATTGTCCTTTGATGTTCCCTCTTTGTGCTCCTTTCCCAGTTGTCTTGAGAGTCTCATTATTCAGGCTCTTGAATAATGTCTAAATGCAGCTGAAGAAGAGTTATTTCAGATTGTGTTAATCAGATACAGTGCTCTCCTTCATTCAAAACATGCAATCCAGTCCTGTTTTTAAACCAGTAATTTTCCCTATGCTTGCGAAATTGCACAAAACTCTATAGATTTCATTTTTTCATTTTCATTCATTTTTTTAATGTTTTTGAAAAAGGTCTCTACAGGGCTGCGTTTACTTGATCAAAAATGCAGTAAAAATTGTGAAATATTATTACAGTTTAAAACAGCTGTTTTCTATGTGAATATCTGTTAAACTCAAATTTATTTCTGTGATCAAAGCTGTATTTTCAGCATCATTACTCCAGTCTTCAGTGTCACATGATCTTCAGAAATCATTCTAATATGCGGATTATCTTTTATGCTTTTGCTTTTTCCCAGGATTTTTTTTTTAAGTGACTAGGAAGTTTAAAAAGAACAGCATTTATTTGAAGTAGTAATGTTACAAAAATTTCTATCACTTTTGATCAATTTAATATGTCATTGCTGAATAAAATTATTAATTTATTAAAAAAAAAATGGTAGTGTATGCCAAAAATGACCTAAAATATTTAATAAACAAGAACGCATTGTCCGTGCCTTTTTATTTTTGTTTATTAAATATTTT